ATGATGAAGAAAATATGGATTATCAATGATTTCGATTTGAAAGGAAGGTTGATCGTTGGTGGGTGATTCTTGTGAAGAAGAGATGTTGGAAGCCATTTTTGGAAGCAAAGAATTGATTCAATGCTGTGATACCATGCAAAATTCTTAAATAGCATGAAGATACTATTCATAAGTATCTAATTATAAGAATGACAAAAAGAAAAAAAATTGAGAAAAGAAAAATCTACAACTATTACTACTTGTAGCTCGAATGAAAAAATAACAGAAAATGAGCCATTGGATGTTACAAAGAGAATACAAATAATTTAAATATGCTAAATATGAAATAATATCTAATATAGCTATATAATTAAATTTTTTAATGTATTATATCAAATGTTTCAACAAAAAGTTTTACGTATAACGCACGTCGTGCATTGCTAGTATACAAATATAATAGGATCTGATCTCGTTAATGTGGGAGCCGAATCCATGAATGATGGGATTAGAAGAACAAGATATAAATCAAATTTGAAGAGGGATTTACAAAGATCAATTAGGAGGATTTACAGAAGTTGAATTAAGATGTGATCAACCTTATCTAGTGGAAGAGATCAATTAAGAGGATATGTGATCAACTAAGAAATCAATCTTATCAACTGGAGCTTTTATTTCCTAATATAAAGTGTAATTAATAAAGTTTTCATTGAAATTTGTACTCATAGTCGACTTAAATTCTCAAAAACTTTTAAGAAGAACAAGAATCTAAACACGAGAGTTATGCTCTATTTGGTACGAGAGATACAAAATTGGAAGGATGGAAAAGTGTGGGGAATATGTTTTCTATCCTTGAAGAAAAGAAAAATATTTTTCCTCCTTTATGTTTGGTACGATGGATGGAAAGTTGAAATAATTAATTTTTTATTGTTTGGTATTAGAAAAAAAGTTGAAGGAAAGAAAGATACATGAACTTAATTTATCATTATACCTAGGGGTGTCCATGGGCCGGGTTACCCATGGGTCTCGTTATCCGGCCAGAAAAAAATAGGCCCGATAGTTGGGCCGCCGGATTCCGAGCCCAATATCCTTAAAAATAGAGTTTAGTTTGCCCCTAAACCCATTACCCGGCCCAAGAGCCTACCCGCAAGCCCAGCCCCAGCCCACAATTTCTTTGAAAAAAAATTATACTTTTAGACCATTAAATTTAAAATTTTGAAATAAGTCTCTCATTATCGAAATTTTAAATTTAAAAATTTAAATATTATAAATAATGTATGTTTTTTTCCATGTATTAAGCATATAAGTTTTAAATAGTAGAATAATACAAATGATAGATAAGTTAGTAGGTGTCAATCTAGTTGAGATTTATTCATTCTATTGAATTTTGTTCATTATTTTATTTTTCTCCATTTTAACTTTACTTTTGATTCAAAAATATAACTTACACAAATATTAATTTACAAAAATATTTATTATTTTTAAATAAAGATGTATATAAAAAAGCCCGCAAATAGGCCCGTCCAGCAAGTTCGCTCATAGGCTAGTCCAATAGGCTCACGAGTTGGGCTACCGGTAGCCTACCCCTAACCAAAGTCTAGCCCGGCCAATAACTAACTTGGGTAAGGGCCTGAGATTACACTACCCAGACCCTGTCCGAAAAAAATTTCTTGTGCCTTGCCTGGTCCGGTCCATGGACACCCCTAATTATACCCTTATATATATATAAATTTTTATGATAAATAAATTTAAGGGATTTAATATTGCTCTAATTAGTTATAAAAATAAATAAAAAAATAAATATAAATACGTATACCAAACATAATATTCAGCAACCCAAACTACTCTGTAAATAAACGAAATTGTAAATCTATAACTTCTTTTTAAGTTTAAATTGTAAATATATTGCTAATCAGTATTTGAGTCACTTATATATAATACACCCCACTTGAATTTATAGTAAATGTTCCATTTAGAAGAGAAATGGAAAGAAATTTATTTGGCCTTTTCTTCTTGCAATAAAATTTTTCTTTATTGTTCCATATGAAAAAAAAATTACATTTGTGATTTAGAATTTTATTATTAAAAAATAATTAAATAATGTCATCGGGTGTCTTATCATGTATAAATTATATAACAATATTTTAAAATTGTTCCCTTTATACAAATGGTACTTATTATGATAGTTTATATAGAATATGCAATTAATAAGAGTATAAATATAAATTAAATCAATTACAATTTGAAGCTAACAATTCTCTCTCATTTTCGCCCATATTTGAGTGGATAAAAAATTGTGAGCCTAAAAGAAACTATTTCTTTCTCTTTTTTCTTTTCATCCACTTTCCCTTTCTAACCAAACAATGAAAAATATTTCCTTCTCTCTCATTTTTCATCCTCATCTTTTCCTCCCCATGTTTTCCCTCTAACTAAACAGGGCATTAAGCTCGGCTTGAGCTCGACCGCTTCAAATTAAATTGAAGTTTCATTAACACCGCTACACACAAAAGAACACCGTTGCATCTACCTCTTCTGTGGCGTCCACAAAAGTACAGTAACCAAATGATCAAGTGGTACACAAAGTACCATCATTCCCCTTTATCTTGGATCTTTCCCACTTTGAATGGACCCAAATTGATCAGACTTGGTGATGTACAGGGCAGAAGTACTAAACTGGGCCCGCGTGGCCAAATAATTGTGATACCATTGTGTTCGTCTATTGCCCACTTAGCTCAGCTCGGTCTCAAGAAAATATTTGTTACAATATGAATACGTGGTGTCACGATTTTATAATAAAAATTTCTTATATAATAATGTTCTCCACACTTATGCACAGTAATTACTAAATTGTATTTATTATAAGTTTATAAGACAGACATGCACCTTGTACTTTATTAATAGATTTTCATGGTACTTCTTGTCTTATAAAAGATTTATTTTATTGAAATTAAAGATTCAAGTCCCTATCACTTTTTCCAAAAAAAAAAACATATTAGCTTCCTTGCTAATCGGATTCTGTTCTCGGATTTTTTATTCTACTGCTATAATTATTGTGAAGTAATAACTCAAACTAGTAAGTATCTCAACTTAGATGATTTATCAATGACTAAAAAAAATCTAAATAATTTATTATTGAGTAAAATTAAGTAAAAGTGTAATAAAAACAATTTAGATTATTCAACCTAGTGATAAAACTGAGACCACAAAGAAATCAACATCAGCTTTTATATCTCACCACCTTTTAAATCCCATCATCATCACCAAAATTGGAAAAACAGTGCCTGGCTCTACAGTTTGTAATTCCTTTTTAAGTTGCCGAAGCAGCAGTGATGCATCCTTGTCCTGCAAGCAGAAATGTTGTTGCTTTGACAGTAATGATTCTCTCTGCTATTTAAGTTATATTTGTGTCATCTATGGCTCAGAAAAAAATGACGCTGTATCATTTACAAACAGATGCTGTTTTGTCAGCGGTACAATGTCGCTTTAAGAATAACACAGTGCTTTACAGCAGAAATTAACTATGTTTTACCCAATTGGACATGCTTCTGGCCTATACAACTTGGTGCTTGCAATACAAATCCTGAACTCACAAAAAATAAGATAAAACTAACCAGCAATTCAAAGGATATTTATCAAATTTTAAGCAAAAACAATGAATCGTATCACAAAAAGACGCAATTCTGAAAAAAATTCAACTAAATTTTTCACAAATTGTCAAACTCATTAGAGATTCAGCCTACGTTTGCCCCCTAAAATTTCTGCCATACCTTTCGACTTAGTATCTAAAAATGTTTATCTATCCACTATTTCCCCTAATGACTGAAAAATAGTCTCCCATCCCTATATCATAAAAAATGAATGGGAGAGAATATCCCTTTGAATTCAACTAAACGGCCAATGGAATGAAGTTTTACATCTGTCTGAATACTTTTTACATATATAATTATGATATAGCACAACTGAGACTCACATGCATGAGATGGGGAACCTACATAAATGGGAAAATCAAAGAAATAACTTGAGTAGATAAAAAATGGAAAGAATAAAACTAATCAAACTATCAATTGCTGATTATGCTGCAACTAAAGTTGCATAAAATGAGNATTCTACTGCTATAATTATTGTGAAGTAATAACTCAAACTAGTAAGTATCTCAACTTAGATGATTTATCAATGACTAAAAAAAATCTAAATAATTTATTATTGAGTAAAATTAAGTAAAAGTGTAATAAAAACAATTTAGATTATTCAACCTAGTGATAAAACTGAGACCACAAAGAAATCAACATCAGCTTTTATATCTCACCACCTTTTAAATCCCATCATCATCACCAAAATTGGAAAAACAGTGCCTGGCTCTACAGTTTGTAATTCCTTTTTAAGTTGCCGAAGCAGCAGTGATGCATCCTTGTCCTGCAAGCAGAAATGTTGTTGCTTTGACAGTAATGATTCTCTCTGCTATTTAAGTTATATTTGTGTCATCTATGGCTCAGAAAAAAATGACGCTGTATCATTTACAAACAGATGCTGTTTTGTCAGCGGTACAATGTCGCTTTAAGAATAACACAGTGCTTTACAGCAGAAATTAACTATGTTTTACCCAATTGGACATGCTTCTGGCCTATACAACTTGGTGCTTGCAATACAAATCCTGAACTCACAAAAAATAAGATAAAACTAACCAGCAATTCAAAGGATATTTATCAAATTTTAAGCAAAAACAATGAATCGTATCACAAAAAGACGCAATTCTGAAAAAAATTCAACTAAATTTTTCACAAATTGTCAAACTCATTAGAGATTCAGCCTACGTTTGCCCCCTAAAATTTCTGCCATACCTTTCGACTTAGTATCTAAAAATGTTTATCTATCCACTATTTCCCCTAATGACTGAAAAATAGTCTCCCATCCCTATATCATAAAAAATGAATGGGAGAGAATATCCCTTTGAATTCAACTAAACGGCCAATGGAATGAAGTTTTACATCTGTCTGAATACTTTTTACATATATAATTATGATATAGCACAACTGAGACTCACATGCATGAGATGGGGAACCTACATAAATGGGAAAATCAAAGAAATAACTTGAGTAGATAAAAAATGGAAAGAATAAAACTAATCAAACTATCAATTGCTGATTATGCTGCAACTAAAGTTGCATAAAATGAGGAAAGATTGGATGGCATGAGAGCTCGTTGAGTTCCTCATCTTGCCTTAAGCAGGGGGAGAGGATCAAATGGCATGAGAAAAGGATGAAGTGGCTGTCCTACAAACTGTACTGCCTCACAAGCGATTCTAAGCCCTGATGGGTAGGGCAGATGATCTCCTTCACCTTGTCCCCATTCTTGTATATGTTGAATGTTGGAACAATTTTTATGCTTTCAGCTTTTGCAACTTCTGGACTCGCGTCAACATCCACCTACATAAACAACATAATACTGATTATGTTCATTAAATAGTTCAAAGAAATCTAAAATATTTCATATTTGTAGGCATTTGAAAGCCAGATCGTACTAGTGTAGGAACAAAGAAATCATCAAAAAATGGTTTTATCTAAGTTCCCAGTAATGATTCAATAAAAATGACGAATAAATACATTTTGAATGATGATCAAAATGAAGAAATGTTTCCCATGAACAGAGTTGCATTGAACTAGCTAGGTTGCCTACCTTGAGGAAGTTGATAGATGGATATTGAACACAGAGTGAATCTACAAATGGAGATATGAGTTCACATTGTTGGTTGAATGCCACCTTGAAATGAACAACTGAAACAGCTGAAATATTTGAGTATTAGCTCAGGAAGTACTGATATCGAGTGAAAACCTATGAAGCAAATTTGAGTGTTATCAAACAAATTATGAGGCAACATTTACTTGCAGAAGATATTGCTGCTTTTAACTGATCAAGACTAGAAATTTCCTCCACTTCTCCAGATTTCACATTATTAACATCCTCGTGTGATTTATTTAGTGCAGCACGTGCATGGGATAGAGATTTAGAAACCTCTTTGTCCCCAGGAAGTTCCCTCCTCAAGATTTCATAATCTCTCACAGCTTCTGCCCATCGTTCAAGCTACAACACCCACAAGCCAATAAAATCAAGTGTATGTCCGCCAACAACAAACTCAGCCAACCAGATTAGACAGATGTATGAAAAAAGCCACATGCACCAATTCACCTTTGCATTTGAGACAGCCCTCCGGAGAAGAGCCTTGGTGTAATTTGGTTGGATCTTGAGGGCTTGATTGCAGTCCTCAACGGATTGCTCCCACAAAGCAAGCTTAGACCAACAAACTGCCCTATTGCAATAGAGGACAGAATTGCACAAGTCGTATTTGAGGCCTTCCCCATAAGCCAAACATGCCTCAGAAAATCTTCCAGAATTGAAAAGATTTCTCCCATGGTCACGAGCTCTTGTTACCAACTTCACATTATTGAGCAACATCGCCGCTTCAATGTTGCTATAGTCAATTAGCCCAGCTTTCTCTATTGCAGAAACTGCATTCTCAAACCTGCAAGTTATCCATCATTCATTCTGACAAATCCCAGAGCCAAGAGCTACTTTCTTTCATAATTCAAATTATTCGGAGCTCACCTTCCGAATGCCATGTCAACCTGAGCCCGGACAAAGAGCACATAAGCTTCAGAGAGCATGCCAAAGAACTTCATTTGGGAACAGGAAGTAGGATAAGGATCTATCTTGGGAATGTCTGACATGATAGAGTCAGCATCTTCCAGTTGTTGGAGCTTCAAACAGGCTTCTGCTTTACAAGCAACAATCTGTAGATTTAACTGGTTCAGGCAGTCTGAAGTTTCACAATATTTCAGATTAGAATAAGAAAGAAATTTTGGGGCTGAGGGTGTCATTACATGAGGAGATGAATCTGCCCCAGTCACCATCGCTGCATCACATTCCATCAGTGCTTTCCTCCAGTCACCTATTTTTCGAGCATCCTTGCATCGGCTTAAATGCTTCTCCAAGGAAAATAATATCTGCAACTCAGCTGAGTCGGCCTGTTGCCCATCTAAATAAAGGTGGTGTCGAGCATTTTCAACCTGTCCTAACCTGTAGACAAACATTGTCAAAGGATTGTCTACAACTTGGGCAAGACTTAGTGGAAGAACACATAAACTCATAATCTGAGCATATTCATGGGCAACAGAGAGCTTGAATTGGTATTAAGGGGAAAAATGGCAAAAATTATAAGAGAGTGAATCCAGATAGCCCAAAGCTACTTCCCCAAGAAACCAAGTCAATTGAAGAACAGCAAAGAATTAATGGCCAAGTCTAATCACTTATGTCAAAGCCAAAAGAGAGTCTGCTTATCTAACCCACTAGACAAATGCAACCAAGAGTTAAACCTCAAATTTGAATCATTCACACACAACAAAGAGAGATTGTTTACTAAAGTCACTCAAAATAGCATCATACATTTGTACAGATAGGTAAGGATTATGGTCAATTCTCAAAAGAATCACAGATAAAATGGAAAAAATAGAGGAAAGGAATCTCATAAGTTAGAGATATTCAACCACTATCCACAACAGCTAGCCACACAGAAAACTCAGAAGAGCCCATTGATGTAAACCACTCAGATCCCAGAATTGAAAAATCATACCCATGAACTACATTAATTACACAACTACCCACTGCTTGTACATATTAAACAAAAACACAACACCATTAAGATAATCCAACAAAAACTTCCGAGATCCAGGACTCCAAACAACCAATTGAAAACAACACAGAATTGGGAGGAAATAGCAGCCCATTCAACACTAATATAGACCCTCCATTCAACACCAATACCACTATGAACCACAATATAGATCATAACAACAGAAACCGATCACATTAATCATGTTCCTAAAAAAATTGCAGCACAGTGCACAAGGATGTGGGATTAATCCTGTTCTAAAAGACATCCATTTTTTATTAACACAGGTATAAAGCAACAAATTTTGCAAGTCCTGGTTTTCCACACTGACCTGAGATAAAGAGAGGCCAACCTCTGATGAGCCCTCCCATAGCCAGGGTCCAATCTCACTGCCTCTTCACACTCCCTTACCGCCTCTCCCAACCGACCTAACATCGTCAGCGACGCAGCCATATTACTCCTATAGGCCGCATTCTCTGGTGACAATGCAATTGCTCGATCATACAAAGATGAGGCCTCCACAAAATGCCTTTTTCTATATAATTCATTACCGGCCATTTTCACCTCCTCTGGATCAGAACTCAGCATAACTCTCTTCACCACCGCCAATGCCCCACCCAATTGTACATTTCCAACCACATTAGTCTCAAATTTTCCACCATTATTTCCAACTCCTTTAATAATGCTTCCATGGCCATAATTTGCAATTCCAGAGCCCAATTTATCAGTTCTGTTAGAGCTGCGATGACCCATATTGGATTTGAGAATTTTTCCTGAGGGGCAAATATTTCCAGTGGGATACATAATTGTTGTGTTTGGTGATGATATTGAACTTGCGCCACCACTTCCACAGCTAGTACCACCACCACCACTGCCATTGGTGGTGCTACTACTAGTACTAGTACTAGCACTACTAGTATTATGGTTGCTATAGCCTGAGTATACTAGGGGTGCTCCGGTGGAGTTTGATCTTCGATGACCCGGCTTTGAATTACGAGTGCTGGTGATAGATCTATGGTTTTCAGAGGTGGGTGTCGGAGGAAATGCTTCAAGTTCGGTGGAGTGAGTGGTGGAAGTGGCATTTCCATCGGATCTTTTCGCTAAAGGGGTGTGATAAGTGGCTGAACTGATGCTGGTGGTGACGCCACCGGAACCATTGGTAGTCAGTAATAGTGAACCCAGATTGAGTTCTTTGAAGTCGGGCTTGTTCTGTTCAAGATTGAACGAGTCCTGGAATTGATGTGCAAGAGAGTGGAGACCCATTTGGTCGTGAATTGGCTTCCTAGAATGCGGCATTGTAATTTTGATATGTATAATCTATGTATATGTATATAACTCAGAAGGTTTGAAAAGAATGGTTGTGTCTAATGCTACAAGAATGCAGAGTGTAACAGAGAACTATAAAAGAAGAAAGGTTCTGCAGCGTACATGGAGAAAAAATTAGACAGATAAAGAGAGAGGGAAAGAGGGAGAGAAGGAAAAGAAAAGGAGGAGATGGGGATCTCGTGATATCAAAGGAGGAAGCAAAGAATGTGAGCTGTGTCTAGAGGGAGAGGTTTTATCGATTTTCTTTGCCTTCTGATCTGGTAGCAAATGGTTCAGGGTAGGAATCTCTCTCTCACGGGACACCTATACGTTCAATCTTCTTTGACTCTCGTTGGGCTTCCGGACTTTCCCACTCTCTCTCCACATTTTTCTTCTTTTTCTTTACCTTTACTATCTTTTCCTTGTTAGTATTAACAAGTCTGAACATTCCTTTTTGACTTTCGACACTAATATGCTGAATTTTGCGGATACAGAATACTGCGTAATGTATTTGGATAACTTGCAAGTAAAATCTTAATTATGATTCATTGCATGATTAACTAAGCAAAATGACAAGTTTCTATATGGAATATTTGAACCTTTTTTCCTCGATTCTTCTTTTTTTTTCAATTTTTTTTTATTGTCAACTACGTAGAACTCTCATTTTTTCCACTAAACTTAGTACAAGAGTATTGAAATCTTGACATAGATAAGAAAATCTCAAATCCTTACTTTTTTTTAAAACATAAATTTAAATTTGGGTAAAAAATTCCTAAAAATATTTTCCAATGCTAGACTCATACCTATACCAAATTAAGAGAGACTCATTTTTTTATTAAAATTCATACCCAAATATTTAATTGTGAGATTTTATCATATTTTAAAATTTTAATGATTATATTTTACCCTTTTTAAAATTTGAATTTGTTTTCATTTAAATTTTAATTTCTCTTCTTTTAAATTTGATTTTGTCTTCTTTTAAATTTGAGTTTCTCAATTGGAAAAGTTTATAGCAAATCAAGTTTTTTATCCTTTGTTTTACTCAAATTTGGGTAAGGATTTGAATTTACATTGAAAATTGTCTAAAATGAACAATGATGCTACCTAAATGGTGGTTGACTTGATCCAATATGTGTACACTCAAGTACAGGCGGTCAAGTTATAGTAATAATTCGGTTAAGTTTGGAGTCGAATCCATAGAGAACTATTGTTGGTGTTTTGAAGTAAGCAGTACTAGAGACCATGTGATTTTAACCTTTGAGATTTATAGTGATGATGTTTAGAGATTTTCTTGGGCCAAATATTTCATTCTTTCCAAGAAGTTTTTCTATACAAAATATAAGATAAATTCAAATGTAAACAGTCATCCTTTAGCTCGAGGATCTGAACATGTAGTTAATCATCCGGTTTATTTTACTTGTGTTTAGAAATTCAATTAACTCCCGTCACAACGACAAGTTAATTGGAAGATAAAGGTGGATTATGAGAATTAAGTACATGGTTCCGATGTCTTTTTAGAAGTTTGCAAGAATTGTCTATGTTGAGACTCAACCAGTCTACAAACAAGCAAGTTTTTCTACAAAACATCTAACTATGACGTTAATATTTCATCCTTTAAATGAAGTCCGATAATGGTGAAGACTAAAAGGTAGTCATGAGGATCTAGTCAGGGTACTTGCCTTGAACACATGGATCTTTCTATTCAAAAGTCATTCATTTCGTAGAAAAAATTCACAGTTATATAAAGTACCTTAGTTTTGCTAGAGGCATTCAATCATTCAATAAGCAGGTGTGACATAAAGCATTAAAACATAAATGAAATACACAAAATATAACTTCCGAATGATTTATACATGTCCAACACCTCTTACTAAAGAGTTAATGATAAACTATTCACTCTTCATGACTTTAGTAAAGCTAGAAAAATGAGTGATGCTCATCTCTCCAAGTAGAGGACTTTACAAGGTAAAACACAATAAGTGAGGAGCCGATCTTCGACAAAGAATGAGTAAATCATGTTTCACCCTTCATGGCTTTAGTAAAGCATTAGAAAAGTGGAAGAGTTTCACTCCTCTAAAGGAATAAGGAATCTCAAGCAATGGAAGTGAAAGATAATAAATGAAAGTAGAAAAAAACTAGTCACTTTTAGAGGGTTTCCACCGCAACCAAAAGATGATCTATCTCCCTTGATGCAAGTAAATATAAACATAAGTCTAAGACTAATTATACAATTACAAGTGGGAGTCTAAACCTCCTTCAAGATTTTTACAAGTCTTAGTGTAGTCAAAGCCTACAAAACCAAGCTCTAGCTCTCTACAAGTCTCAAAAGGACTCTCTAGCACCCTCCCAAAAGAACTCCCTCAAGGGGAGTATTTATAAGCAAAGAAAAGGGGGGACAAGAGAGTGTGAGGGAATAGTGTAGGGTCTTGAAAGTCTTTTGAACGCCATCCACTCTACGACTTGTTTGGAGACAACGTTCGAACGTTGTCTGGCGTTCGAACGTTGTTATTGTCTGTGCTTGATGGGCGTTCAAACGCCAGATGGGGTCTTACCTTCTTACTCAATTAGCTTGTGGTCTTCTATGAAATCCACTTCCACACTCCATACACAACTTGATGCTTTGCACTCAGCATCCTAGTCCTAATTAATTCAAGGGGGCATTCGAACGTGAATTGGCGTTCGAACGTGGTACTCAAGTACCTCAGTATTTTCCTTCTTGGCTGCAACACACCATGTCTTAGCATCCTGTAGTCTAATCTTCAATAATACAAGAGAACGTTCGAACATTGGTTGACATTCAAACGTTCTTGCCTTGGTCCAAGCTTTTTCAATTTTGCTCCAGAATATGTTGGTGTTGCACGAAAGTGTGATATTCATTACCTTTGGTCCCTTGTACAATTTATGTCCTGAAATGCCAGCATTTAAATTCCATCAAAGTACAATTAGTCCTAAAAAGGCATAGTGATATAATAATTTTAACGACTAATCAGTGGTGAATAGGTTCTTAAACTTTAAACTTAGACAATCATTAATTTTAAACCTAGTACTATCGCAATTACATCTTCTCACAAAGATTAAATGATTATTAGTGAGAACCCCCTTATAGCCACAATGATCTTATGAACCCATGATGATTAGTGTTGTTAATTTATCAATTAAACACTCAATCACTCATGAAAATCCCAACCCAATGACCCAAACTATTGGATACATAACTATGGATGATTTAGATATCAAAATTCATTCAATCAAATACATAGTGTGCATGTGTGCTAAAATTGCAAGTGTGTATGAAAATACGGTAAAGAACACAAACAATTGGTTGATGCAAAGACCCTCTATGGAAAAAACCACAGAGAACCTTCTTGGTTCACCAAAACATAATCCACTACCCTAAAATTAGCCTACAAGTACTCGAATCCTATACTTCAACTAACATTATAGTCAGATGCTTTTTTCCTTCAATAAGCTTCTCTACTAGATACACCCATCGGTGTCTTGAATAGCTTTATTTAGATTATCCACCAAAATGAATCATATAGACCTTGAGCAATCATGGATGTACCAACGATCCTCAATCAAGAACTTCTTCACCAGGTTGTGAGGCTGGATAAGAATAACTAGATGGTAGCCTTGGGTCTTAGGGATCTACGGTTATGGCAAAAGCTTTCGAGATAGAAGATAGAATTTCTCTCTGAAAATACTCACAAGAGACTTGCCATAGGTGTAGCAAATGCACTCCTTACTTACAAGTTCGGAATAAGGGCAATCTTGATCAAGAAGAAAACTCAAATTCGTGAATGAAGGCTCGGTCGATGGTAGGGCATTCATATGGCGGTGGTCACTGGAATGAAAACAAGATTTTAAATCTACCTAAGAAAGGAGACGCTCTAGTCTCCTCTTTTTTGCCTTTTCCCTTTTTCTTTCCTAATTTATATAGAGTCCGCTCTAGCAAAGGTTAAGGAGCATAAGGCGATCCTTACTAGTTTTTTAAGCCCAAAACCAAGAAAAAAACTTGTCATTTTGAACAATAAAAGGTATTGCAAAAGAGGAATCAAATAATGGCTCATATGTTTTCAACATACACAAAAAATTTTATATGAAGAACACCTATTAGCAATTCTCGAATCTAATACCAATTTCATTTTAAAACTAATCCTCCTAAGTCTATTAAACCAAGGGATCATCTTAGATATCTAGGTTATTATCTTGTCCTAATCATTAAGGTGCATACGGAGTGCATGTGATGTAGTTTTGACTCTTGATCTCTGTTAGATATATGAGGGATTAATCCATTTGTGTTTTGAAAACATAGTTTAGGCCATTAACAAACCCCCTCTTGAGCAACACCCTTTAGTGCTCAAGAGCAAGTATTTTGCTTGGTTTTAGGCTTGAAAAATAAGTAGGGACCACTCTATGCTCACTAGCTTTTCACTAGAATGGTCTCTCTATGACTTAGGGGAGAGAGAGGGAAAAGATCATGGAAGGAGAACAGGGCTCGATCTATGAACTCACTCGAGTGGTCCTTGACCTCGCTAGAGTGGTCTTACGTTCACTCGAACAATGTGTTCTCCTTGGCCAAGATTGAAATACAATTTTTCATTCCCATGATCACTGCCCTATGACTGCCCTCCCGATGATTGGGCGGTCGTTCGTGAATGAGTTTTCTTGTTGACCAAGATTACTCTTATTTCGGAAATTATAAATAAGGAGAGTCTTTTCTTCAGCTAGGTTAAGCCTTTATGTAAGTTTTTTGAGAGTAAAAACTCATCTTCTACCTAGAGGGCTTCCACCACAACCCTAGATCCCTAAGACCCAATGATACCTTCTAAAGATTCTACCCAACCTCACAACTTGGAGTGAAGATCTTGAATGGTGTAAACCAAACCCATTGGTGTGTGCATACCTGGGATCGTTGGCATGCTAATGATTGCTCGAGGCCTAGATAATCCTTTTCAAAGGTGAATCAAACTAAAGCTACACATAACGTC